GGAAGGAAGGAAGGAAGGAAGGAAGGAAGGAAGGAAGGAAGGAAGGAAGGAAGGAAGGAAGGAAGCTGGGTGAAGAGATCAGTTTTCAACAAATACCTGAAAATTTGATAGCAGATGTTCCCCCTCAATTTTAAGGGGACAGTTTTCCAGGGCACCACCACAGAAAAGCCCCACTCAGAGTGGCTGAAATATCATTCAGTGGCTTCCGGGACTCATAATGGGATCTTCTCTGGTGATCTCTGTGTCCAACTGATTCCATAACACAGTACAGAGAAAGCCTTGAAGAAAGAATGGGAGGCAGCTCCGTAAGGACTGCCTTAGCCCTGGAAGACAGGTGAGGGTGAGAAAGAAACTCAAGATTGCCCAGTCTTGATTCTTTTAGGTATAAGAGGGAACAGAAAGAAGCTCTTTCAGGCTTTCAAGATTCTGTTATTACACCCTGACACAATAAAGTACAGTCCCAGTAGTACTTCTGGAGTCTGTTTCTTAAGCTGGCCCACCTCAAAAGGTTGACAAAACAGTGAAAGTGAAAGACACACTTAGCGTTTTTGGCAGGGAGGCAGAGTGAGCAGGATCATCTGAAATGTAGCTGGAGATCAACAGCATTTCGGGAGGGGTTAAAAAAGTCAAGATGGTGGCCATATATATGCGGTTTAAGCCCTACTTCTTTTTTACATGCATTCCAACACACAAAAAAGAGGATGGGACTTCCATTGTGCAGTTGCACAAAAATCTTGAATTTTTGTTTACCTCTCTCCCCGCCAGAATGCCCCTGATGCAGGGATTCTCAAAGTTTGTGCTACTGTGACTCCCTAAAATAATAAATGAATTTGTGTGCCCACCTCCCTCCATGAATAAAAGTAATAATTTCACTGAGGATAAAAATATACTGTTTTTAATCATTCAATTTTATTCTATGTTACACAGGGTAGAGTGAGGGGCAAAATCAAGAAAGTTTTATTGATGTTCCTACTGTGCCTCTACAAGCTGGAATCGAGTTTTTAAAAGAATCTCTCTCTCTCTCTCTCTCTCTCTCTCACACTCACACTCACACACACACACACACACACACACACATTGTGACTCACCCTAGGGGTCCATCATTTGAAAACCCCCATTTTAAATGTGTGTGTATGTGTGTATGTTGTGCCTATAAGTGTCACATGCATCCTTCCTCAACATAGCAGAAAAGCCCATCACCAATTTTGGTAGTCAAGAAGTTCTAGGAGCCACCAAAAACTGTGGAGGGAAGGATCTGGAAACTGAAGATTAGCCATCTCTTTGGTGCAGAACTTAATTTTTAGTCCAAATGGGAAAAAACACATTTTTTCCCCTCCTCAAGAATGCCTTGCAATGCAGTGATAATACAGACCAGTGTTTCTTAATCTTGGCAACTTGAAGATGTGTGGACTTCAACTCCACATAGCTGGCTGGCTGGGGAATTCTGGGCACTGAAGTCCACACATCTTCAAGTTGCTAAGGTTGAGAAACACTGATCCAGACAGATCAACATGTGTGAAGTATCATGACCACAGGGAAGTAGGCTTAATATTCCAGCATCATCTTCCAGGAGTGCATGGAAACCGTGCAACTGGGCAGGACTGCTGTGCTGTCTTGAACAGGGACTGTAACAGTGCCAATTTTATGGCTTCAGCTGTCACTGTAAGCAGTGGGATTGAACCACCATTAGGGGAGAGGAATCAGCAAACATCAGTGGCAAGGAAGGGACAAGTCTTCCCCTTCCAGCTTGCAAGTTGTTACATAAGAGTAAGCAATTCTGCCTGGAATGGAAACTGGGCTAAAGGTACATGGATTTCAGCTCCCAACCTTCTCTTCCCTGTAGTAGGACTACAGCTCCCAGGATTCCTGGAGGCAATTTCTTTGTTTGCATCCTGACTTTTGTTTAGGAGCTCAAGCTTATCTGTAGCATTTCTTCCTCCATTTTTCTCCCAGAATAGCATCCCTGTGTAGTAGGTTGGGCTGAGGGAATTGAACTGGTCCAGAATCACCTGTATGGTTGAAGGTGGACTCAAACCTGTGTCCCCTGCTTCTGGTCCAGCACTTCCACCATTACCCTACACCAGTACTTCTGAACTGTGGCAACTTGAAAGTGTCTGGACTTCAACTCGCAGAATTCCCCAGCCAGCATCCTCCTCACAGTTTGAAATTGCCAAGGTTGAGAAACATTGTCCTACACTGAAGAATTCTGGGAATGCAGTCTCATTACATCTGAGGAGTGTCAAGCAAACCATCACTGTTACAGATAGATCCCCATAGTGGGGGCAGATATATATTCCAAAGAACCATCAGCCTTCTGCAGACTCCAGGAGATGAACCTAGCTCAGACTGCCTTCTCCATGAGTCCACCAACATCCAGTACAGAGACCAGCCTGGCTTGTGGTTTCAACAAGCCTTTTGTTTGGCCATCTCTGTTACCAATAATCTCCCTCAGTGTCATAGCAAAGTTCACAAGAGGCAGCCGAAAAACATCCTCTGGAAAATTGCATATGTTTCCCCCGCTCATGAGTTTGCTATTATTGAAGGCAGACAGTCTAAGAGCAATGTCGCCATGGGAAGCATTTCGCTGAGTCATTTCAGCCTCATCTGTGCTGTTTGGTTTCACTGGTTTTTTTAAAATTCCCATTCATCTTGGCTTCCATTCTTGGAAAGCAATGGACGCGTGCTGAATTGTAGCCATTGCCTGAGACAGCAACAAGGTTGGTGTCTCAATGAAGGAGGACTAGTTGCATCAAACACAACTTCTAGATGGAAGCCTGTTCAACCAGGGTTGAGATATTCAACAGGGTGCCAGAGTCGTGTTTTTCTGCTGTTTGGGGGAAATTGCTTCAGTGCCAATTTCACCCACATTGCCACCACTGTGACACTGGGTAGATCTTAAGCTAAGGTAGACCTCCTTCCATCTCAACTTCTGATTCCTTCATGGCCACATCCTTGTAGTTGTCTTAGCAAGTAGTAGTTTTCCATTGCCTTCTTCCTGGAGGTCTTAAGCTCACACTCTCCCAATGCGTTGGTTGTGCAATTCCTACATTAGGTTCATACACCACACTAAACTAGTGTGTACCAGAGCAACACATTAATCTATCATATGATTTTATTTGTTTCAGCATAGCAGTTATGTGCATGGAGGAATTGTGTTTGGTTAACCTGTATTTAAGAGTTGGGTGTGTTGTGCAAACTTAGTCTAGAGTTGCCAGCCATCCTGAGCAAATTCTGGGGGCAGCAGTCCCAGCATATTGTAGGACCCCAGGTTAAGAATACCTGCTCTGCATGGGTATCCACAGGGGAGGCCAAAGAGGAGTCAGGAAATCATGTGCTTCATGACATCGTTGCCCCAAAGAGGTGAAGGACGCTATTGGAGCAATGAAGCGTGTGCCATCATGACTTGCTCCAGGAGTCTGTGCTGCTATGCGTTATTCTGAGCGGGAAATAAAATAGGTCTTCACAATCTGTTTTGGCTCTGACCAAAGCATATCTCACTCTTTTAGCACATCAGTTTTTGTCCTGGAGGAGCAAGTCACAATTTCTAGGTGGGGTTCTTTCAATGTCTCCTTTTCTCTGTTTCCACAGTTGTTGCAATCTCAGGACATAAAAGAAGATGCTGTCCTTTGCTGTTCAATGGAGGTAGATATTCGGAGACATCCATCTAACCTATTTCTACATCTTCTGCACTCAATAAAGAGGGCTGTTTTTCCAGAGAATGTCAAAATTATAAGAGCAAGAATTTATGTAGTCATGTTACTGCACAAAACTGGAAACCAATATTAGAAGAATCTGTGCAAAGCCATAACAATATTTATTTACATATATTGTCCTGAGAAGCTGTTTTCATAAATGTTTAATATATACTCATTGCAAGAGATTTGGAACACTAGCCTGTATTACATCCATTATATAATCATAATGCATTTCCTGCTACTTGAGGTTTAGCATTTAGTGTATTCAATGGCACTAGTTGACTTTTTATGATACTATGTGCCTGAAGAAGCTAACAAACATCTAGAAAGCTAGCTGAAAAAGGCATGACTTCATCATTTGTCGATATCATCTATATGTGATTTCTGTATTATTTCATCTTCATTCATCTTCATGTGTAATAGGTCCTTTCTTTTCCTTTTAACTGGTATATTGTAGCAACCAGGACTTGGAGAAATGTCTCAAAAGTCCAATTAGGGCATTCGTACTGTAAGTTGCTTTCCAAAAAGTGAACAGCAAAGTCCACATTGCATTGTTTATTCATAACCACTGAGAAGTTTGGCTCTCAAAATGTAACGTGAGAACTGACTCTTAATTAAACGTGTAGTTGATCAAACACTCTGCAACGTCTGCTTGAACAAATGTGGGGGAGGATTATAAAGTTTGTTCTGTCTCCTTCATGATCTATCCATCCAAGGCTTTCAGTCTGCAGAATTCATGGCACACATTTGTTGGCCTTGAAGCGCCCGCCGCCCCCCCCCCCCGATTTTCTTAGCTTTATTGCTAGAGTTCTGTGCTGTTTGCGGTTTTAAAATAAAGCATCAGAAAAATCAGATTTCTACACGCATATCCTCCCCGATATCCATTCTGATGGCTTTCCTAGAGATTTCCCTCACCACCACCACCAGCTTCTTAAAGCATTTATGTTATTTGCCTCTGGTTCTTAAAATGGCAGTTTCCAGGGTCTCATAAAGCATATAATTATACTAGAATATAATTAATTTTAACAGAGACATGCATGTTGAAGCAATAACTAAATCAAGTGTTTCCAAAATGAAGCAGACCATTCCCCCTGCCTCTCTTCCTCCAATTGTGGGGGAGAATGGAAAGATGGAAGAGACGTTGCGATGCGACTGGTCCCCAGCTTTTGACTTCCATGTCTTTCTTCCTCAACAGCTGCAAAGTGCTGGCCGGCTGCTGGAAGAACAGCTGCCCGAGCTGATGACGGAGCTGCTGGCGACCGCACGCGACAAGATGCTGTGCCCTTCGGAGTCCATGCTGACCCGGTCCCTCCTCCTCGAGGTGATTGAACTGCACGCCAACAGTTGGAACCCCCTCACCCCCACCATCACGCAGTATTATAACAAGACAATCCAGAAACTGACAGCTTGAAAGGAAGGCGGGAGGCGGGGATGGCCCAAGGCCCGGAGGAAGACACGCACTTTAAAGAAACAAACAAAAACACATTCAGAATACTATAAAAGGATGGAGGAAAGAATGGAGCTACAGTGACTGGAGAAGGGACGGAGTGACCTGCAGTGGTCAGGTTCCTAAAAAGACAAACCGCAGCATGTTTAAGAATATGTTCATCGGGGCGAAGCATGTCTTTATTCAGCCGTGTCCTCAAGTGCCGTCGCCACCCCCTTTCTCCCCCCACCCCACCCCGCTGTGGTTTTGTTTTAAGTTCCCTTTTAGGCAACCTGTTGCCCATGCCACTCTGCGTCCTGCCAGGCTATTGTCGGGGCTCAGAAGAACACGGCAGGTTGAATAGCAAGTCAGAGGGCAGGAGTGGATGGTCTCCGCGGCATGATCCCAGCTTGCATTGGCCAACTGGCGGGAGGCAGCCCACAGCAGATGTCTTCGAGGGAGGGGGGACAAAGGCAGATGTGTTCCACCCCAGATGCTGGTAACGGACAGCTTTGGTCAAGCCAAAAGGACCTCCTCCCCTTCCCCCCCTTTCTTCCTGTCCTCTTGTCTTCAAAGTTTGGTTCCTTAGCTGTCTCCTTTGCTCCATATCCTGAAACCTCATTCCAGATTAGACATTGAGAAGGGATAAATTTTTCTTTTTCTCCCTTTTTCGGGGGGAGGGGCATTTGCATTTGCACTGTGTATTATTTTTACTTTGTGGGTTTTTTATTTTATTAATAGATATGCACATATAAATATGCACATATATATACATATATATATGCATATATCCTTATATGAACAGACAGCTTTCGGTTTTGTTTTTTAAAAGGTAAAGTTAGCGCTGCGAGGTGAGATTGCGGAGAATGGTGCAAGGCTCTTGAAGTAAGGGAGCCCAAGCCAAAAACCACTCTACAAGTGTTATTGCCACAAAAATGTCTTGCCAACAGGTTGCGGTGAACAGCCTGATTCTGTACAGAGTTCAGTGTAGTTCCCTTCCACATGTTGTGAGTGCTATGAGAAACCCAAGGTTACTGTATATTAGCTTTCTGCGAGATTTTTTACCCACCTGTAAAAATCTTGGAACTCCCATGTACATATATGGTATTTCTGAATCTTGACCCGGCTCTACCATTAGGCAATGTAAAAAGATCTTGGGTCCTCTCTGATTGTTCCCTTGGTTGGGAGACAGAAGTGCTTGGATTATACAGCTTATCCTGCATTCCTTAAATAAATCTTTCATTTAGATCAGTGTTTCTCAACTGGCTGGGGGGATTCTGGGAGTTGAAGTCCATGCATCTTAAAGTTGCCAAAGTTGAGAAACGCTGATTTAGATGAAAGATGCCAGCCTATCACGAATATTTAAGGATTTAAATTTAAAGCTGGCCATCCAATAAAATTCTGTACCATACATGGAATGAGGAAGGGCAGACCATTGTAACCCTGCCATTTAGTTTCTAAAATATCTGCACAACTGTTTAAATATTAACATGTATGATATCAACATATCAGCTCTTAGGTGTTCAACACCCTTGGTGTTTCTCATATCCGCTACCGATATGTGCACTGAATTGTGCAGAGGAACATAACTTAAATGGCGTCAAAAATTGTGTGCCAATTATTCTCAGAGCTGATTCACAGCAAATCTGTCAATGGTGAAGATTGAGGGGTGAGCAAAACTAAAAGCAGTTAAGTTGGGATGATGGGGGGGGTTGTAATGCGTCACGGTTGCAATTGTGAGAGGGGCTGTTCCGTCACAGTCTAACGTTAATTCAGGGAGCTGAGTAGGAATGACGAATTAAAACTTGAAGTTCTTCCTGAGTCATCAACTAAATAGAAGGCGAGTTGTAAGTATCTGGAATTCTGGAGTAAGAAAATGTTTCTCGTTAAGACTTTTTAAAAATCCAGTAATTTTTACTGTGTTGTCGTAGTTTTGGAATTTAAAGTGAAATGTATGTGGGGTTTTTTTGTTTTTGTTTTCCTATCATGTCAGAATTTTAGTTTATAGTTCACTCAACGAGCTGACTAGTCAGAGGGTTTTTCTCCATATGAAATTAAGTGGTAATGTGAGAAGATGCTATTGAGGAAAAGAGGCGAAGGGTCCAATTAGACAGGCTTCCTATAGATGTTCTGATTCATTTTAAAATTGGCTCGGATCCTATTGGCAATCTTTCTTTGAAGGAGGTGGCAAATAACAGCTCAAGTATGAAAGTGGATAGTGAGAGTCTCCAAAGCTGTGAGTTGGGGAGACATTTTTTGCTATTACAGTAGAGTCTGTTTATCCGACATAAACGGGCAGGCAGAACGTCGGATAAGCGAAAATGTCGGATAATATAACAATACAATAACAAACTGCACTGAGCGACCATTAGGAAAGGCGAGACATGACCGACAGATGAGTCGTAGGCTAGACGCGCGCGCCTGCTGCACCTGTTACAATCGATTTTTGCGTTGTGGCGCTGCACCATCAGGAGCAACAAGAAAGAGTACACTCACGCTCACAAACAAGCAGCACACTTTTCTCGTCACCGATTTATGCGTGTTGTTGTGGGTTTTTTTAGGGGTGTCGGATAAGATGGAATGTCGGATAAGCGAAGGTCAGTTAAACGAGACTCTACTGTATCAGCCACCTGTGCATAATTTGTGCAGATCCTGTGGCTGGTAGTACCCAGGGTATACCCATCAATAGTCCTGGTTATATGATAACAATATATAAGATAAATGGCTTGATAGTTTGGAACAAGGACCTGCATCCCTCAGTTGATAGTCTATGAACCAAAGAGTTTGCGCATCCTAAAGACTCCAAAATTGAGAAGTTTCTTCTGGACTAACCTTCCCCATTGTCAGCCTTTCAGAGGAGGCTGGGTCAGGAAACAGATACCACAAGAACTACTGGAAGAGACTCTTGAAATTCTGATTCTCACTCTCTGCTCTTATACCAAAGAGAATCAAAGCGGGGCAAACTTGAGTTTCTTTCTCGCTCACTCACTCCTCCTGTTCCAGAGCTAAGCTGGTGTTTTTCTAATGGCTCTTGAATTCCTTCTTCAAGGCCATCTCCATATGCCTCTGCAGCCATTTCTGGCATCTGTAGAATAGCAGCTTCTAGAATCCCAAGCTAGCAAAGCTGAAGACAACTGGGTGCTGACTGGGGAACTGCACCCTCATTAATCCGGTCAGGCTTTCCAATGAATTGGCCAACAACTCTGCCGCAAGTGTCAGCCCAGCTCAGGGATTTTCAGTCGCTGTTGTAGCAAAGGTGAGATAAATAATTCTAAACATCCTAGAATCGTAGAATTAATCTACTTTAGAAACTTTAATAAGGCTGATTTTGTCTTCCTTGACTGTCTGCGCAAAGAGACATGGTTCTGTCTGACAACTTTCTAAGGTCAGTCCTTTAATTAGACCAAAAAAAAAAAAGCCCACCTTAAGTAGCAGGTTTAAGGGTACCACCATTAAGGGTAGCAAATGCTTGATGATTGTCTTAGACTTTTGGTTGCTCTACCCACATTTTTTCCACAGAATAAATAAGTGCTTGCTAGATCAGACCAAATGCTGCTTAAGCTTCAGATTCTAAATTCACAGGATACCTCCAATTCCCTGTAAATGAGATCCAACATTGGATTGTTACCCCACCTGCTTGCTTCCACAGCAGGCTCTTTTTAAATTTGGGAAATTCTGCTCTCAGAAATCTAAGGGAGCAAGGAGGGACACTCAAGAATCAACTAATTCACACCTCTCTCCTGCATCCCCAACTTGGAGACACCATTAGAAAAGTGGAAGGGTTAGTCTAAATAGATTCCTTCCCCTGATTCCCAGTTGGAAGGAAATTGTACTGTCTCTTCTAACGGGAAGGGAGGGAAAAGATCCTTTCTACCTGCCTGCCTGTAACCTGCAAGATTTTAGGTCTTGCTGGAAAGGTCTGATTTGAGTGTACTCAGGCTGAGGAACAGGGCTGCTCTGCCTGACTGATGTTCTGCTTCATGTGGTGGCCAACCACACGCTAGTGGGAAGCACCTGAACCGGACATGCAGTCAGTAGTACCTTCACACTCTTGCTGTCAACATCTGGAATTAAGAGACATAATTCATGGCCATGATAATTGGTCCAGGTTTGTGGTCTCGTTAGCTCTTGCAGCAGCAGATTTCATAGTTTGTATGGTGCGAATAGCCCTGAATTTGTTGGCCCATTTGTTGAATCAGCTTCATCAGATCACCACAGGTTCTTCCTGTTCGTCCTATCAGATATAATGCATAATTTTAGGTATCTCTGTCATATACTTCAGTGGCTTTATCGAGCCAATTCTGGACTTTTTACCTATATGGCATTCCTGTAGATATTTTCCATAGACTTGAAGAATGCTTAACCTGGTTACTGAATTCCTTCATTTTCTGGATATACACAATACACTAAACCATAAAGTAGCCTATGCAATAGGCCAGTGTTTCTCAACCTCAGCAACTTTAAGATGTGTGGACTTCCACTCCCAGAGAGTGGAAGTCCACAGATCTTAAAGTTGCTGAGGTTGAGAAATGCTGGAATAGGCTAAGCCCCAAGCAACAAACCAAGGTTGAGAGTAGGCAAGTTTAGTGGATTGTGCAACGGCAACTATTGGGATTGCCACAGAACTTGTGGCAATCATTGCATGAATACATCAACCCTTTTCCCACAACGCGCTTGACCCAACCAGCCGCTAACCCCATCAAATCCCCCTCTGGCAGCATTTAAATTGCATTGGAGATGCTGAGTCCTCATCAACTCTTCAGAAATAGCCTAGTATTCTATGATTCTCTAGCCAGCAGAGTACTGGCAAGCCTTCATTAACCACCACGTATCCCCTTTCCCATTGGCCAAGCAAAAAGACAGTGGGCTAGCTCAGCCACTGCAGCCAATGACTGCTTGGGAAGGGTCTTCTGTCATGGCAGGCCTTGACAGTGACTTCTATCAGAGAGAGGCTTGGGGGGAGGGTGGTTTCCCAGCCAGTCTTTCCCACCAGCTCTCTTTCTGGGAGGACTGGATAAGCAAAACGAGGATTGACTAGTTTGCGGTGTTGTCACGAGAAGAATAACTGATGGTCTGTTTTGGGGCTGAATAAAGCTGGGCAAACATCACAGCAGGGTGGGCAACCTTTCCCTGGCCAGGGCACACACTCTGTCAACATTTGGGAGCGAGGAAGAACTGCAGGGGTGCCAGGCAAGTGAGCAAGGGTTGAGATTGGTTTTGCTTTTTGCCCCAAACAGGCAGAGAATTGTCTCTCTCTTCAGAGGTTATCATTCAGTGTCAGTGATGCTGTTTCAGAGCTGCCGAAGAGGCACGGGAGCTGTGGCTTGCTTTATTCATCCATCTTTGCGCACTGCATCCCTTGTGAACAGAAGCACGTTCTTCCGAGCACAAGGCTGTCGTTCTCCTTGTTTACTGAAGGGCTGTGTGTCCTTTCTGGATGAAGCAAACGGGAGAAAACTGTTTCTCTTGCCCTCCCGTTCATCGTGGGAGAAACCTCCCTTCTGAAATAGGCGAAGGCTCATCGTGGACACGACGAACCAGATCAAGAGAGCCTCAAGCAAGCGCTAAAGCCGTTGTCAGGACAGTTCTAGAAATATCCAAATCCTTATCCTCTGTTAAGCCACCCTGTGGCTTAGCTCTCTCTAAAGATCCTAGAAAATACGGTGTCAGGTCTCGGATTGCAGCATTCCTCCTGCATTTAATGCAGCCCTTTCAGCTTG